CCAGTCATTAGGTACGGAAGCCCATTTAAAGGATAGGTTACAAACCACAGATAATAGCTCAGCAATTTCCCATTTGAGTTCTTTTAGAACCCTTGGATGAATGCCATCCGGTCCCGGAGATTTGTTAACATTAAGTTTTTCTATTTGTTCCAAAACCTCCTCTAATGACACTTCAGTCCGGGACAGTTCCTCAAATTCATCACCCACAAAGGACAGTGCAGATTCAGGAATCTCCCCAACGTCCTCAGCCGTGAAGACTGAAGCAAAGAAATCATTTAGTTTCTCTGCAATGGCTTTATCGTCCTTGATTGCTCCTTTTATAGCTCGATCATCTAGGGGACCCACAGGTTTTTTAGCAGGCTTCCTGCTTCTAATGTACTTAAAAAACATTTTGTTATTTCTTTTTGAGTTTTTGGCTAGCTGTTCCTCAAAATCTTTTTTCGCTTTTCTTATTACATTTTTACACTTGATTTGACAATGTTTATGTTCCTTTCTATTTATCTCACTAGGATTGGACTTCCACTTCTTCAGAGATACCTTTTTGTCCTTGCTTTACATGTGTGTCACTTTAGTAATACTGGTAGGAAAACACCTCAGTGGACAAAAAACATCGGAATCTGGCAATCTTGCATGTGCATAACTAAACAAAATGTCTCCTTGGCCACACATAGAAACCCAGTTGGCTGCAGGTTTCCCACCACTGCCTTAAAATCTAATACTAGGAGTCCGTGAATCAGAAATGAAATCATTCTTTAAGGCCTCAGTCCCGGAAATACATATATATGTGCTCTTTTTTCAGGCAAGAATCCCACTGTTATAAAACAAACAAGCAAACAAAAACATACAGACTAAGGAAACAGAATTAACTGCACACATGAGCACTCCACCCAAAACCAGAGGAAGGGCAACCCCAAAAACACATTTCCTCCCCGAAGAATAAAAATCTTGGTGTAACAAACCTCTAATTTATCAACTTTGGCATAGATGTTGTTCATTTCTACCACCTTAGCTTTAATGAGTGGAATGGTCTCGTCCAGGAGCTGGGATGTATCGTTTCTAATCTGCACAAAAAAAAAGAAAGTATCTTACAACACAAAGCATCGTCGTGATAAATACACAGCAACTCAACAGCAATTTTCACCTGACATTTCAAAGCAGAAGCATTGGTAGGACAAGACATAATGGCCTTAATGCAGCAAACTAAATTAAGATTAGATATTAGGAAAAACATTCTAATTGTAAGGGAAGTTAAGTTCTGGAATAGTCTTTGAAGGGAGATTTTGGAATCCCCATCATAGGAGTTTTCAAAAAATAGGGTAGACAAACACCTGTCAGGTATAGTCTAGAACTGTAGATTTATTTCTTCCTGGTTCACTGCAGGGGTCAGGTCTTCATGATCTCTTGATGTTCCTTCCAGCCCAACATTTCTATGATTAATTAAGTAAATTACAAAGCGCCCCACTGAGACAACTATTGTTCTCCCCAGGATACAAATGAAACAAGCAAAGAAGTTATGAGTCTTTCCCCAGACACTAAGGCTGTGTCCAGACTCGGGTTTTTTCGAAAAAAGTAGCCTTTTTTCGAAAAAACTTCACCTGCGTCTAGACTGCAGCCGCGTTCTTTCGAAATTAAATCGAAAGAACACGGCTTTTCTTTCGACGGCGGTAAACCTCATTCCACGAGGAAGAACGCCTTTTTCAACGGAGATCCGTCGAAAATAAGTGAGTGTGGACGGGGGGAGGCCTTTTTTTCGAAAATATTGGCCTCCAGGAAGAAGCCCTGGTGGACAATCTGGGGCATGGGTTGCATGTCTGTGGTTCCTGTCTGCAGCCATTTCTTAAAGGGACAGGCACCCTCACAGCCACTTGTTGCAGAGAAGGAGCCAGAGCACACAGCTACTTTGCTGCAGCATGTCCCAGCCCCAAGACCGTCCTGGCCCTTCCACCGAGCCTTCTGGGGACCCAGACAAGGGCTCCAAGCGCCGGGCACCATCCTGGTCTGGGCCAGAGCTCAAGACCCTTCTGGAGCTCTGGGGAGAGGAGGAGGCCTTACAAGCCCTCAAAAGCCGGCGGCGAAATTCCGACATTTATGGCCGCATGGCAGAAGCCCTGGCCCAGAAGGGCCACTACCCCCGCACCCAGGACCAGGTGCGCGGCAAGGGTACGTCAAGGCCACGGAGGAGAGCTCCCGTTCTGGTGCAGCCCCCTACTACTGCCCTTATTACAGCGAGCTGGACCAGATCCTGGGTGGCAGTGGTGAAGCCCGCACACCACGGCGTTTCGTCCAGTCAGGATTGGCAGACCCTGTGGTGGACGCTCCTGAGCAGGACCCAGAGCAGTCTGGAGACGAGGACATGGTGCCAGAGGAGGAGGACAGTGAGAGAGGAGGAGGACAGTGAGGAGACGGCGACCCTCACCCTGGAGCCAGTCACCCAGACCCCAGAGGCCTCCCAGGTGTCATCTGG